GCACTGACCCGCATCAATGAGAAAGCCCCGAGTGAAGAATTTCCCATTCCCGCAAGGCCTTCACAAGGAAGGACTTCGCTTTATTGAGTTGAGGCAAGAAGGCTGCCGCCGCCACATTGGTTAGGAATGAAACTGATTCTGCTGCTAGATAACTGTTTTAGAAATTTTCTAACCTTTTCTTTGTACAAACCATTTTAGGGCGGGGCCCTGCCGAAAGGGGAAATCAGACAGAGCTGAACTACATGTATGCCCGCTCTTTGGCATGGAATAAGGACGACAGCAGCGATGCCACCTTTCTGCCAGACGACAGCGAAGAGACTGAAGACGTCGACCAGTCTCTGGGATGACTTGGATGATCCTGCCCCACAGAGTACGATGGAGACGTCATTTTATGTGAAACGTTAATGGTTCTAACAGCGTATATGTTGTGTGTTAGGTCGCAAGGGGAAATCGCAGATAAAGAGGGCCAGAAAGATGCAGCAAAAGCCGTCCAGTACGTTGGATATTGTTGCTTTAACATTATGGTTGCCATTAATTGAGGCACTCACCACATCTTCACCACATCTGTTAATGTTGTTTTTAGCAATCGGGAAGGGGAATGTGTTTTGCGGCGCAAAACGCCTGCACTCACCGCACGTCTCCACCGAGGAGCGAAGCTTTTCTCCTCACTATTCGCCTCCCCCCTTTAAGAAAGAGAAAACTGTGTCAGACGCACCCCTTGCAAACATTCCGAGGGACAAGACGGCAAAAGACTGTAAGAAGGACATTGCTATACCGGAGGCGACGCGCCCGGAGTATGTTCCTCGAAAACGGTCAAGCAAACACATTGACGAGTTGAAGTCCATGCAATTGGACCGTGAGGAGATCATCAACGTTGTTCCGCCGTTTCCCTCTCTCCCTATCCACAGCTGGGAAGAGTTTGACAAGGTGCTTGAAACCTACAAGGACCAAAACAATCTCAAGTTCCGGGTTCGAAGCTCGCAAACTACAGTGTGTTACAACAAGTAGTTTTTGCTTTTGCTTTCTACGTGCTAAAACCTAACTCGTGAATGTGTTGCTTTATTGTGTAGTACAAACGACGATCAGATACCCACCGACTTTCAGTGGGCCAGCAGAATCTTTCGCTGTACACACGGGGGTTACAGAGCTCTCGCTCTAAAGGACACCGCAACCGCAAGATTCGCTATTGCGGGTGCAGCGCTCGGTTTACAGCCGTTGTGATCCGGACATCTACGGAGGGGTTTACTATCAAGATTCGCAACGAGGTTTGCTATCGAAAATTATGGGTGTTATTATAGTTACCAACCGCTATCTGCTTTGTCCAGAATCACACTCATTTCTACCTCTACCACTGCGTCTGAAGCTTCGTCATATCTGACGACTAAGACCTTACCATTGAACGAGCAGGATCGTGAGGACGTGAAAAACTTGGCGGATGCACGTGTTTCTTCGAAGCACATCTCCAGCTTTTTGAATGAGCGGATTGGTATGTAAGTCAGATTTTATTTTAATTTTATTTAACACGTCTGCTACTATGTTCTTCGTATGACTGTATATGTAAATAATAGGCTGCCAGATTACTCCACAGCAGACCCGCAACCTCATTCGCAATATCATGGGGAGGGATTCTGCTGAAATCCGATTGAAGGACATGCTGCACGCGCTGCGCCAATTGGATGGCAGTGATGTTCTCGTGATGCAAGACCAAATTGGCGTTACAACCGGGATCGTTTTGCAGACAAACGTGCAGAAGCTAATGTTCGAGCGATGGGGTGAGACGTTAGCGATGGACTTTACCCACGGAACGAATAATCTGGGCTATCATCTGGGTGCGTACAGCTATGGTTGTTGTAACTTTATTCTGATGTATAACAACCTTATCTACTTAAAGTTGCTGTATGATTAACTCAACTTTGTTTTGGTTTTGACCTTTAGGAAGTTTGGTTGCCACCACAGCTACGGGTCGAGGGTTTCCGGTTTTTGATTCATTTGTCTCAACAAGCAAGCACTGACAATGTCCAGAATTTTGGACTACTTCAAGGAGAAGAACTCGGGCTGGAAGCACATTCAATCGGTGGTGATTGACAAAGATTTTGCTGAGTGGGGCGTATTAAAGGATGCCTTTTCGAGAGCCAAGGTTCTGTTATGTCAGTTCCATGCCATTAGTTACTGGAAGAAGGTAATGAAGCGTCCGTTGTATCGCCTAAGAGTTTCGCAATGTGAGGAACGGCTGGTCCAAATGATGAAACTACTTTACAGGTGAGTAAGGTTGCTTTTCACCGTGTATGTGGAGGCTAATTTGTGATTGCCTTGATTTAGTTATACCTCTATACAATACAATTCTATAGATGCATGGGGCATATTGTAAGGACCGAAAGCGGAAATCTTTTGGGTTTTTTGCGTAAAAAAATCGGGAAATCGCTGGCCGCGAAACTTGGGGGCCCATATTTTGTGAGAGAGAAGAGATTCTTTTTTTGTGCGGCACTTTCCCCCACAGAGAATTGAGGTTGCGATTCCAAAGGGGAATTCCAATTCCAGAATGGTGGTGTGTTCCACAAAGCGAGATTTAACCAGGAATCTGGGGTGTTGCTGGGTTGCTTCAGCATCAAATGACAATTACGCAGAAAATTGTTTTCACTATTGGACATCAGCACTCAACTTCACGTGCTCCCAAGACGGTGCCAAAGTTTTTGCGAGCTGTGGCTAATAGACTGTCTGCGGATATATTTTCGACGGTCAAGAAGGAGTGGGAGCGCTTCGTCAACCTTATGGCAGGCGCTTTGTGCAAACGAGTTGCTGGAAGTGTTTCGTTTTGGAAGGTCAACTGTGGGAATGAAACATTTGTGTGCAACGATGGAGAATGGACATGTACCTGCTTATTCTTCA